ATACTAAGGCTTTTTTCATGATAGGAATTTAAATTTGTCTGCGTCTATCAAAGCAAACTGTAGTGGATTGAATTATGTCCCTCCAAAGCTCACTGAAGCTCGAATTCTGGTCCCCAAGTTTTATGTATTAGAAACTTAGCCCCTACTGTGATTGTTAAGAGTGTGGGAAATCCTATTATGGTAATTGAAAGGTGGAGCCTTGAAGAGGTGTTTGGATTGTAGGACTTTGCAGTAGTGAATGGATTAAAAATGGTGGTCAGGGGCATAGTTCTAAGGGCTTTAAAAGAAGAAGAGAGTCTGTCTGTCTGTTTCTCTGTTCTCTCCACTCCACCATTTCACAATTTGATACCCTACTGTCACTGTCACCACCACCAAGACCTTCACCAGATGTGTTCACTGGACTTTGGACTTCCTAGCCTCAGAAACTATAAGCAATAAATTTCGTTTTCTTTATAAGTCACCCAGTTCCATGTATTCTGTTATAAGAAACAGAAATGGACTAATACACGAACGTACAATTTTTCTCCTTTAATATCACTTTTTTTTTTTTTTTGGAGGCTGATTGGTGTGGGGATCTGAACCCTTGACCTTGGTGTTCTAAGACCATGCTCTAACCAACTGAGCTAACTGGCCAGCCCTCATTTAATATCTTAATGTGATTTTTTAGTATTACATATTCCCTGCTAGACCATGATATTTTGGTTTTTTTGTGCCCATTGTTAGATTTGGCTAACTATTTATTTCAGGTTTTTGCACTTCTATGAGGGTACTTCAAAAGTTCATGGATATATGGGCCGACCCTGTGGCGCACTCGGGAGAGTGTGGCACTGGGAGCGCAGTGGCCCTCCCGCCGTGGGTTCGGATCCTATATAGGGATGGCCGGTGCGCTCACTGGCTGAGCACAGTCACAAAAAAAAGGACAAAAAAAAAAAAAAGAAGTTCATGGATATATCTGTATTATCTTTTAATTCTATTTTTCCATGAGCTTTTTGAAGAACCCTTGTATTAATGAGTGAAATTAGTTTATAAGATGGTTTAAAGAAATTTATTTAAGATAGTTTAAGAAACTAGGTTATAAGATATTTATAAGATAGTATAAATTAGTTTATAAGATGTCTGTTTTACCAGTTTTGAAACCATACAATTTCTTGTATCTGTCTTCTTTTTCTTAAGATTATTCTATTAATATTCACTCATTTTGTTATATGTAGCTATACTGCAGTTTGTTCATGTTTTTTGCTAGATATAATTCCATTATATGAATGTACCTCAATATAATTATCAATATATTTATCCAGTCTATTATTGATGGCCATTGGGGTTGTTCAATTGTGGCAGTTACAAATATGCTGCTACGTGCTTACACATGTCTCTGGATATTCATGTACATGCATTTCTCTAGGGTATATACCTAGGAGTGGAGTTATTAGGTCATAGGGATATGTATCTTCAATCTTACAGAGAGCGCAAAACTGTTTTCCAAAGTCATCATACCAATTTACATTCTCACCAGCAGGAAATAAGAATTTCCATTACTTTAGGTCCTCACCAGCATCTGGTATTATTTGGCTTTTTAAATTTTTGCCATTCTAGTGGTCTTATAGTGGCATTTCATTGTGGTTTTAATTTGTATTTCCCTGACTATGGAATTACTGTCTATGGGATTAAGCACCTTTTTATGTGCGTATTGGCCATTTAGATTTCCTCTTCTCTCTCTTTTTTTTTTTGGTGGCTGGCCAGTACGGGGATCTGAACCCATGACCTTCGTGTTACAAGTTAGATTTCCTCTTCTGTAAGGATTTTTCCGTTCAGATGTCTGAAGTTTTTCTCATTGTTTATTGATTTTTTAAAATTAATTAATTAATTAGTTAATTTGGCAGCTAGCCGGTACAAGGATCTGAACCCTTGACCTTGATGTTATCAGCACCGTGCTCTAACCAAGTGAGCTAACTGGCTAGCCCTCACTGCATTGATTTATGAATTCTTTGTAAATTCTGGATAGAATTATTTTGTTAGTCATTTGTGTTACTAATATTTTCACCCACTTTGTGGCTTGCCCTTTTTACTTTCTTAATGTTGTATTTTGATGAAAAGAGTTCTTAACTTTAATAGGGTTAGATTTATCAGTATTTTCTTTTGTGATTAGTACTTCCATATGTCCTTTTTAAAAAATAGACTTTATTTTTTAGAGCTGTTTTAGGTTTACAGCAAAATTGAGTGGCAAGTATAGAATTCCCATATACCTCTGCCCCCTCCCACAAGCACAACCTCCCCACAACAACCCCCCCACCAGAATGGTACATTTGTTACTGTCGATGAACCCACATTGACACATCATTATCACTGAAGTCCATAGTTTACATTAGGGTTCACTCTTGGTATCGTACATTTGGTGGGTTTAGACAAATGTATAATGACATATATCCATCAGTATAGTATTGTATGGGATAGTTTCACCACCCTAAAAATCTGTGCTCTGCCCATTCATCCTTCCTTCCCTACTACCCCTGACAACCATTGATATTTTTACTGTCCCCACAGTTTTATCCTTTCAGGAATGTCATATAGTTGGGATCATACAGTATGTAGTCTTTTCAGATTGGCTTCTTTCACTTAGTAACATGGATTTAAGGTTCCCCCATGTCTTTTCATGGCTTGATAGCTCTTTTCTTTTCAGAGCTGAATCATGTTCCATTGTCTGGATGTACTACAGTTTATTTATCCATTTACCTGCTGAAGGACATCTTGGTTGCTTCCAAGTTTTGGCAATTATGAATAAAGCTGCTATGAACATCCGTGTGCAGGTTTTTCTATAGACATGAGTTTTCAGCTCATGTGGGTAAATACCAAGGAGCACGATTGCTGGTAAGAGTGTATTTAGTTTTGTTAGAAACTGCCGAGTTATCTTCTGTGGCTGTACCATTTTGCATTCCCACCAGGAGTGAGTGAGATTTCCTGTTGCTCTACATCCTCACCAGCATTTGGTGGTGTTAGGGTTTTGGATTTTGGACATTCTAGTAGTGTCTCGTTGTTGTTTTAATTTGCAATTCCTAATAATATGTGATGTTGAGCATCTTTTCATATGCTTATTTGCCATCTGTATATCTTCTTTGGTGAGGTGTTTGTTCATATCTTTTGATCATTTTTTAATTGATTGTTATAGTTGAATTTTGAGAGTTCTCTGTATATTTTAGATAAAATCCTTTTAGATAACAGTCCTTTATCAGATAGGTCTTTTGCAAATATCTTCTCCCAGTCTGTGGCTTGTTTTCTCATTTTCTTGACAGTGTCTTTTGCAGAGCAGTTTTAAACTTTAATGAAGTCTGCCTATCAATGATTTCTTTCATGGATCATGCCTTTGGTGTCGTATCCAAAGAGTCATTGCCAAACCCAAGTTCATCTAGATTTTCTCCTACATTATCTTCTAGGAATTTTATTGTTTTGATTTTTACATTTGGGCCTGTGGTCCCTTCTGAGTTAATTTTTGTGAAGGGTATAAGATCTATGTCTAGATTAACCTTTTTGCATTGAGTGTCCAGTTGTTCCAGCACCATTTGATGAAAAGACTATCTTTTCTCCATTGTATTGCCTTTGTTCTTTTGTCAAAGATCAGTTGACTACATTTGTGTGGGACTATATCTGGGCTCTCTATTCTGTTCCATTGATCTGTTTGTCTATTCTTTTGCCAGTACCACACTGTCTTGATTATTGTTGCTTTATAGTAGGTCTTGGAGTTGGGTAGTGTCAGTCCTCTGACTTTGTTTCTTTCCTTCAGTGTGGAGTTGGCTATTGCTGTGGATTGCATGTCCCCCCAAAACTTAATCCCTGCTGTGACAGTGTTAAGAGTGTGGAAAGTCCTGTAATGGTGGTTGAAGAGTGGAGCCTTGGAGAGGTGATTAGATTATGAGGACCATGTCCTGGTAGATGAATTAGTCCAACTGATGGTTTAATGGTGGTCATGGGCATGGTTCTGATGGCTTTAAAAGGAGAGCACATGAGAAGCTTTCTCTCTGCTTCCACCATCTGCCATGTGACACCCTGCTTTGCTGTAAAGAGTTACTACCCACCAACAAGGGTCTCACCAGGTGTGTTCCCTGGGCTTTGGACTTTCCGACCTCGAAAACTGTAAGCAATAAATATTGTTTCTTTACAAATTACCCAGTTTCAGATGTTTCTATTATAAGCAACAGAAATGGACTAATATAGCTAGTCTGAGTCTTTTGTCTCTCCATACTTCATGTGGTTTTAAGTTTTGATGGTGAATTCATATGTCCATGGGAATTGTGAAGGTATCCCTACAGAAAAGTTTTGTGATTGATCCTGATAATGCCCCGCAAATTTCAATGGTTCTAAACCAGTTTCTGTGCACAAAACAGGCCTGGTTTCAGTTTCTTGTGGGCGATTTTATTTTATTTATTTATTTTTGGTGGCTGGCTGGTATGGGGATCCAAACCCTTGACCTTGGTGTTATCATCACCATGCTCTAACCAACTGAGCTAACCAGCCAGCCCTTTAGACTGGTGGGTGGAAATATTTTAGTCCTTTTTACAAATACGGCAGAGATCTTTTAGGTTTTAGGATTTATGCATAAGGTTCAATTCCTGTTTCATGTTTCTCCCAGCTTTGTCCTAGCACAGACATTAGAACCTCAGCTCCTCGGTTCTAGAGTCTGAATATGGGTCTAAAATTCAATGGGACATTTAGTTTGAGCTCACTTGGCTTTGAACCTCTCCCCTCCCCTATTTTTAGACCTCAGAGAAAACTCCTTCTAAATCAGAGATACAAAGTCTTGCTGGCCCTCAGGGGTGGGTATGCAGTCTTTCTGGCCCTCAGGGGTGGGTATGATGGGGCAGGGGGAGTCATAGTGTGGGCTGCCCAGGTCAGTAAAACTACACACCTCGAGTTTCAAGCTGACGGTGCTGTCACCTAACTGCCAGACAAATATATGCTGCTGCTGATGTAAGTAAGTAGTTTGGTCATGTGTTCCTTTGCTAATATAGTTCTCAGCTGAATACTTTTCCTTTCCAGATGTTCGTTCCAAACAGGACTATGATGAAAGCCATGTGATTACAGCCCACCGAGTGAAGAAGGTATGCTGGCAGAGTCAGAATCTGGGGCAGGCTGGCTACCTGGCAGGAAGGTGGGAAAGAGTGGGAGATTTTATCCCCAATCCAGGAGAGGGCACCTACTGTTGGCCACTGTGGGCAGCAGAGGCAGGACTATTTTCAGTGCGTTCAACATGGTGGTCTTCCACACCTCTCACACGTCCCCTGGTGTCCCCACCCCTATGGGGACATACATGAAAAACATTGTTGACAAACATGCCCAACAGCTCTATTTGACAAATAGTGATTAAATCCCTTGATGTGCCTGGCGCTGTCCATACCCTGGGGATACAATAGAATACAAGAGGCCCTTAGTTCATTGTCCCTGCCCTCATGGACCATCTGTTCTACTCAGTGACAGACAATAAACCATAGAGATATTTACTATAAACCAAAGATGGAAACCCCTCCTTTCCTTTCCCTTCCCTTCCCATCTTCCTTTCCCCATTCCAACAAGGGGATGGAGTCCTGCATACAGTCACCATGTCCCCCTCCTACAGTGAGACCCTTTTCTCCACCCCATAGCGTATCTTCTCTCACAAATCATTGCCAAACCTGGCAGCCTTCACTCAGTATCCATCTCTAACCTCTGCAGTACTAACCACATTCTCTCCCTTTGACTTTGAGGTTCTCTCTTACTTCCCAGTTTCTTCTCCATCTCTTTGGTTCAGCTTCACTTTCTCCTTCTGCTGCCTGAAGATAACTGTCAGTCTGTCCTTGGTCTCCTTCTTATCTGTCAGGATACTTTCTTGCTAGAGATTTCACCCAGGCTTAAAACTTCAACTATCCACATGCAATTAGCTGTCCTGCCAAATTCACTTCTAAAATTCTATCTTGCAAATCCCCCCTCCCCCCATCCCCACTGTGCTGTTATATACTCTGTCTCTGGCCCTTGCCTTACACACAACTTGGCAGGCTGGCTCAGGTATTTTTCCAGGATAAGCTTGCTACGTAGCACTTCCCCTTTCCCCATCCCAATCCATCATCATCTGCTTTTTTTCTCCCTTGATTTTCAATTTCTGGCTCCATTATCTAGCTCTTAATCCCCGTTTCAGGACTTTCTCTGTGTTTTGCTGCCTATTCAGAGCCCTCCTTGATGTATGGCTGCAGTTCTCAGTTCGGCTCTCAGATCTGTGTACTCCCTTGATTCTGGCAGCACCCCCAGCTCTGGAAAAGAGACGTTGCCTCTGCCTCAGCCCCTCAGAACCTCTCATTTAGGCTGATACTTCTTGCCTCTCCTTCCTAGCTTTCCAGCTAGCAGATTGAGGCCTTCAGGGAGCCTCAGCAGGACATGAAGCTCCCAGCTCGTGTTCATGGCCTTCTTGGATCTGATTCCACCTCCTTCTCCGCTTTCATCTGACACCTCAATGACATTGCGCCACCATGTTTCCTTGGTTCTACGATGCACATATTTCCCCCATACCTTTAACATTTTTTGAAATTGAGATACATTTCACAATTAATTTGTACTTTGAATGTGGTAGTATCTTTTTCCCAAAAGATGGATGTGGTGGACATCTGTTGTTTTTCTGCCTGGAACCCTCCCCCTCTTTTTTTTGCGGGGAACTCCCTTCTCTGCTCAAAGGATGAGGTTCTAGTGGTGCTCTCTAAAATAATATCCAGAGGGCATAGTGCTCATAACACCAAGGTCAAGTGTTCAGATCCCCTTACTGGTCAGCCACCAAAAAAAAAAAAAAAAAAAAAAAAAAAAAAAAAA